ACTGAACTGGTCTGGCACCCGACCTCGACGAGAGGTAGACGCCAGTTTGCCCGAGGTCACCCGAGCCTCGTGGGAAGGACGGACGACAGCAGGGTCACCCCGACCCGAGGTACCCACCTCAGGTTCGTCTAAAAGACTATCCCCGCTAGACATAGAAGGGAATGAACTGGGAAAAAAGGAGAAAGGGAAGCTCGGGGACTCACCAGGAAAACGACGAAATCGGACTAGGAGACCCGAGCTGAAGACCCCAAACGGGAGCTCACGGTAGACGAAAGGTACTTAGTGGCGAAAGAAAATGACTAGGGTCCCCTGTTATTTATAGCCGATGGGCCTGTGCGCCAATGGCCAGGATCGAAGCGATCTAACGGTCCTCAAGAAAACCGGTTGCGGGACTCTCAAGGCGAAATCAGTTTAGTGCGTTTTTTGGCGTCCGCGAAGTCTAAATCGCGTGACGTCTGCGCGTAAGCTGTACGCGACCCAAGTCTTCCTTCCGAACGAATCGAATGCCAGAGCTGTCCACCCAACGAGTCACCCGACAGGGTGGCACGAGAACCAAGCCAAATCCACCCGGCGCGTCATGAATTCTCCGCGTTGGGTCACCACCCCTAGCACGGGGAGTGGGGGCAATTGATGAAGGGTGATTTGGCCCAACCTCATAGCTCGGGGACATGTGTATATGACCTGGCCCAGTGTACAACTCAGCCTGACAACACGACCGCAACTCGACGGGAGAGACACGCTGAGTACAACGCTGGCCACTCGGCGAGTTAAGCAACTCGCCGGGGACTGACGCCTGGTCAATTTTGACTTCCACCAAGTGTGGAAGGTCCCAAGCTCTCCCAGGGGCCCAAGCTCCCTCTAAGGGGCCCGGAGCTCTTCCTTCCCAGAAAAGAAGCACCCTGGCTTGTGGTTAAGTGTCCCAAGCATCTCGGGGCAGCATCGTCCTCCCTCCCCCCAGTGCAGGCACCTTAGCACCTCGGTACTGGGACAAACCTGCCCCAGACAGTTCGGTGCGCAGTAGCTCGGTAGGCTATGGGGAGCCCTGTCTAACATCCGTACCCACCGAACCCAGTGGCAGGGCTTTGATCCCTCGCCAGGTGGCGTTCTGCCTGCTAGGCGGCGTTCTGTTTGCCTCCTCTGGAAGGCATGACACGTCTGTCACGCCCGTACCTGGCAATGGCAGTTTGTGGCGGCAACCTGCGCCTGCCACACCTGCCCTGGCAGTAATGGCAAGGACGATGGCGGTTATGCCAGGTATGACCAAACTCCAACATAAAAGAACCCAAACCCACACAGAGAAAAGGTATTGAAGCTTAAGCACTTTGAGCACTCTTACTCTTTATTCTCTTTGAGATTTCCTCCAGTTCTAACTTAGCCATTGGAGTGTTCCCACCGGGACAACTCCCCAGAAACCCTTCACTTTTTCCTTCCTCTCAGGTGTCATTCGTTCTAGTCAGAAACCAGGTCACAGCTAGCTAGGAGTGCCCAAATCGTGCAACATCATCCTAACAGAAAAATTTGTCTCATAAGGATAGAACAATGTGAAGGAGAACTAGCATAGTTCGATTCCCACATATTGTACTTTATTTATAAACCATAGAGGGCCACTAGAGTCCCCTCCATGTCTATATATGATTCGTAATATAATTAGGATTAAGTTGATGAGAATCTCCCTCTTAATCCAGCCCAAAAACTACTAGAATCTTTTTTTCTAGTGAAACTAGTCAAATCCTAATCATATTAGACTATCTAGTTGACAGTTTGACTACGATGTTTATATGAGACCTTGAACTGATCATTAGCACCTTAATAATTAAGGAAATAACATTTTCTAAATGGTAGACTCCATCTTATATGACATGGAACCCATAACTTAATGAGAGAATGCTTCACATAAGCTAATGGGTCCGGTCCCTTAATGTTTTAATTCGATCAGGCTTAAGTACTAGGCCCATTAAGTGTCTAAATACTTAAAACACTTAGGACCCATCATATAGGCCTAAATCTATTGGTTTAACCCATTATATAAGAATTAAGTCAATAAAAACCAATTTATTACTTGTAATTAATCTCTCTACTAATAATACTTGACATTACATTAGGGAAAGGAATTTTTCTCTAATTATCTTTATGACATGATGTCCAACTCCAACACCAATGGATCCTTTATTAAGGATGCATATAATCCTATAACTAGCAGATTTAAAAATTTAGAGAGTTGTACAAAGTATTCTCTATGTCTTAACATAATAGCAAATCTTATGACATTGATCATCATCAATTGACATATCATCCTTAAATATCCTAACATACCTAGGTATTTGACCCCAAAAGGTCTTACTCATTCGCATATCAATGATAGAAAAATTTGATATTCAATCTTATATTAATATTAAATTTATGGATTAAAAGCAACACCCAATTATTCCGCTTGTCACAAAGCTCAAGAACAAACTAGGTTTGGTCTAGTTCAATGTTTCTCGTAAACACTTGTACTCACACATTTTGTTACAATCTAAATAATTGAGACTCATTGCTCCACTACCTTTGGTAGTGTGAGAATGACAATCTTGTTAGGATAAGTCTATCTATTAGTTGTGATAACTTAAGTTCATATTATAATGACTATATGGTTTCATACAAAATACTAATATGAGCGGGATTTATCAAAACAACCCGATGTCACATGAAATAAATGTTCTTTTATTTGTAACAAAGATATGTATGATACATTAGTTAGAACTAAGGGCATAGTTTCAGCAACGGTCAAAAACTTTTGGAGAGATTTTAACAATATATGCAAAATTATATTGGAAAGGGAAAATTTCTTAAAATACCCCTAAGTTTTAGGAAATTAACTTACTCACCCCTACTATTTAGAAATTGATTTAAAGTACCCTTAAGTTTTCTAACATTTGACTAAATTCTCTTTTTTATTAGCACCTGTTAATTGAGAGATGGAGAAGACTATTTTACTCATCATTCTTCTTTAATTTTCAAAATGTAACATTTGAATAAGCTTGCCAAACCTACTGCCTCGGACCCATGACACTCAACATGGATCCCAATCCAAGACCACCAAACCTAATCTCTCATAGATAAGAACAAAATAAAATAAAATAAAATAAAATCACAACTCAATAATAACAAAAATGATCTTAACCCTTGTTTGTAATAAATCAATGATCTCCAACACTAGTCGGTTCACATATGTCAAATCACAAAGTGAGAACAAATGAGTAACAAGTAGATAGAAATTAGAAAATAGCATTTGAAGATACAAATAACAGAAAAGATAGTTTAACTGGATAGTGCTTCTACCAAAGAACAAAATTTTGAAGGACAAAAAGATAATGAAAGAGGGTAGAAAAAGAAAATATGTAAAATAAGGGCAATTTCATAGTAGGCTTACTCACCTGGGTTTCATGAAATATTCGTCAAATCCAAAATATCCAATCATATAGATGGGGATTGTGTTCCACTACGAACACCACTTTTTGCCCTTCAGATCCCAATACAGAGTTCACCATTCTTTGCTCACATATCTCTTTTTGTTTCAGCAGAGTGCAAGACAGAGAAACCTCCACCATCGTTGGTATATATTAGATTATGTCAGGGTCTTCGCAGAATACCTAGAAATTTGAATTTCTTTTTGTTCTCACTGATATACAAAACATAAGAAGACGGCTGGCCAGGGGGGATTTCTAACTCTATCAATCCTATATCCTCTTCATTCTTCTCCTTAAAAGTTCTGAAAAGAAACCTTCTCAACCTAAAGATTGTGTCTCCTTAAAAGTTGAAACGAAACCTTCTCTACCTAGACCAACATCCACACCTAACATAAGGACAACTGATTTAAGGTAGTCCAGAAACAGAACTGGGTACAAAGATATATGCACGGCTGTGTGTGTATGAGAGAGAGATAGGAAATGTGATGAGAGTTTTAATGACGAACAATAAATGTTAAAATTTCAAAATTTGTTGATGCTAGGCTGAAATCTCTTTTAGAGTTTGTTGAACAATATTTTGAAATTTAAAGAATAATGGATGGCAAAATCCACTGTAAAAGGATAATTCTGGGTTTTAAAGAATTTTCTATGTCACGTGCTGTCATATATGAACAGATTATGATGAAATATTAATGAACACTAACAGGCAGGGGAAGATTTAGTCAAATGTTAGAAAACTTATGGATGCTTGTTAGAAAACTTATGTATACTTTAAGACAATATAATATGTAAACAGTAGGGTATAATTAGATTTGCCTTACTCAAAATTGATAAAAAATATGGAGTCTTCTCAAGGTCACATGTCATGTTGCCAAATCTTGGTGGGATGACTATGAAAAATTGATTTGGAAATCTCTATATGGAAGTTTGGGGTGCAGCCTGACATCTTAATGTGATGGAATCTCATAGTAGTTATTGCCATTAATTTCGACGTCCAAAGGCATAATATAACTACATTTTCGACATGCTCTAACTTTAATTAATTAATGCAGATGATCAAACAGAGTATTAATGCAGGCTATAGTACATTGTTATCTTTTATTTTTCATGCTCTGTTCATACTGGTTTGGTTCTAATTTAATTTGTGTATTGGGTCCTCGGTTCAGAATGAAGCATCTTTTCTTAAATGGGTTAGCAGCTGGATGTCTTCTTTAAACCCTAACATGGAGGGGGAAATGCTAAATATCTTTGCAGAATTTTGGTGATTGCTTGGTGTATTTGGCTCTCAAGGAACAACAAAAATTTCAACCATGATAATTCTTCTCTGGCTGATCGATGTTTTGTGTATATCCAGCAGGATTCTTCAGCGGGGCTCCACTTCTCTTCAACTTGAGTTACCGTGTATATCCATCCTACTGGGGTGCACCAGGTTCACTGCTCTAGATCCCAACTGTCGCTTCTCTAATCACTATTAATCCAAGACAGATTACATCAAAGTTCCTTCGTACGTGAGTGAGTTAATCACTGAGAATCAACTAAGCGAGCGCGAGAATGGAAAGAAGACTTCGTGAAGCATCACTAAAAGGGAGCGTAAATTCTTTGATTGGATTGATCAAAGAGGACGAGCTCATTCTTGATAGAGTGATTGTGGATTGCTCGGCGGAGACTCCTTTGCACATAGCAGCAATTCTTGGGCATGTTGATTTTACTAGAGAGCTTCTACGCCTTAAGCCTGAACTTGTTTTCGAGCTTGACTCACGACGACGCACACCCCTTCACTTGGCATCGGCAAAAGGATATACTGAAATCGTAAAGGAGTTGGTATCGGTTGGGGCTGATGCTTGCTCCGTTCGTGATCGTGATGGGAAAACCCCTCTTCATTTAGCAGCAATGAAAGGCCGAGTAGATGTCCTCAGAGAGCTAGTTCGGGTGAGACCCGAAGCAGCTAGGGTCCGTGCCGATCATGGGCAGACCATTCTACACCTTTGTGTGAAGCATGACCGATTAGAGGTGCTGGAGCTATTGTTGAGCTTAGTGAGTGACGATGAGTTTGTGAACTCCAAAGATGACAGTGGCAACACTATCCTCCATATTGCAGTGGCTAATAAGCAGGTTGAGGTATGACATATGGGTTGGTATCATGTTCGTTCTTCTTTATTTATTTTTATTGATCATCAACTTGTTCGTCTTGCTATATATGTTAATTTCCCGCAGACTGTAAGATATTTGCATGGCAGAATAGCAAGTATAGACAGCAAGGATATTGAAAACAAGCTGAGAGCTTCAAGAGATGGCGAAATTAAGATAGTTAACCGATGAGCCCTTAGTTACACAAGATAAAGGCCCGTCACCAGCAGTTCAATCACCTGCGTCGCGATGGAAAAATTCTAATGAAAACAAAAAATGGATGGAAAATATGCAGAGCAGTTTGATGGTGGTGGCTTCACTGATTGCAACCGTGGGATTTCAGGTGGGAGTTAACCCTCCAGGTGGTGTCTGGCAAGAGACCAAATACTTCAACGAAACAGCTGGTATTTGGCAGCAAGACGAGAAGGATATAAATTTTGACTTGGTGTATTATGACCATGTTTCGAAGATACGGTTTGCAGGAATGTCTGTAATAGCTGATGAAAGCCCATATGAATTCCGAGTAATATTGGGAAGCAACACATTAGGTTTGTTGGCCTCTATGAGCATAATCTTATTGCTCAGAAGTGGATTACCAGTGAAGAGTAGGATATTTATGTGGATGCTGATGGTGATCATGTGGGTGGCCATCTCTTCAATGGCACTCACGTATGCGTTTGCCATATCGTACATGACCGCGGTTATAGAATGGTTTAGCACTGTTGTGCCGCTACCGAAAAAAGTATTGGTAAAAGATGATATTAGCACCTATTATATAACGTTATGGACGGTATATGGGTGGTTTGGGTTGATGGCTCTTATCCTCTTCAGCCACTTTGTTCGATTGCTGTTGAAGTACTGGAAGAGAAGATTATACAATGTTGGTCCATTGCTGTTAAGGGGGCCGACAAAGTTAATTGGAATGTTTAAGAGGAGGAGGATGAACGGCGGAGTGAGCATCTGATTTCAGGGTTAATACTTTATTGTGCCTCATTTGCCATATATATATATGTCATTGATGTTTTTTTATTTTTTAGAGGATCTCAATACTTTGCCTTACTATTTTATCCTAGAATAGATTATTTGGTACATTTGAACTCAATTTGTACTATTTCATTAAAAAAAATTATTAAATTCAAAATAGTATTAAAATCGTATAAAAAATTACTAAAACATATAATAATTATGAAAAATAGTTAATAATTAATAAAGTAACCCGATAATGCAAACTGCGTGACCACAAAACACTAGAACAGGGAGTTCTTTCCCTAAAAAAAATGCAATTATGGGATTAAACTGGTTTCAACGAGATGGTTTTGAAGTTGCCCAATTGTCTTCTACCAACATATTTCAAGGAATCTAAAGATGGGTTGTTCCCCATATTCGATAAATTAAAGAAAATTACAAAATTAAAAGAAAAAAAAAACTCCAAAGAAAATGAATCTGGGTCAGTTCTTCTCCCCAACTACATTTGGTTAATGATAAATGTTACAGAGAATCTGGGTAAAGCAAATCAAACGAAAATCATTCCTGTTTATCCATATACCACAAAGAAAACAAATCCAAATGGTTGAATAGCATAAATCCAAATAGTTGAATAGCATAAAACATTCCTGTTTATCCAACAAGCATGGCAATAAAAAAGAAAAAAAACTGAAGATTGTGAGGGTTTTTGAGGGAGCTTCTTCAGATTCAGTTCGAAGAGAAGGTTCTTCAATTCGAAGCAAGAGAGCAGATTTGGTTCGAAGTGAAGGTTCATAGAGAAATGGCGATGGAGCTTGCTTGCAGAGAGGATGGCGGTGATAGAAGGAAATGAGGAGAAGGTTTATAAGGTTTGAAAAGCTTTGTATGGCCTAAAGCAAGCACCTCGGGGATGGAATAGCAAGGTTGATAAATATTTCCGTAAGAATGGATTTGAAAAAAGTCCAAATGAGCCGTCACTCTATATAAAGAAGGAAGGTATACATGATTTCATCCTTGTTTGTCTTTATGTTGATGATTTGATTTATACAAGTAACAGCCCAAAATTGTTGAATGAGTTCAAATTAGCAATGACTAAGGAATATGAGATGACTGATTTGGGGTTAATGAGATACTTTCTTGGGATTGAAGTGAAGAAATGAAAAGGTGAATTTTTTATGTCCCAAGAGAAGTATGTTGATGATTTGTTAAAACTGTTTCATATATCAACATGTAAACCCCTAGCTACTCCTATGACTATCAATAAAAAGCTGTCAAAAGAGGATGGAGCAAAATTTGTAGATGCATCAATCTACAGAAGCCTTGTTGGTTCCTTGATTTATCTCACCAACATAAGGCCATATATTGTTCTTGTTGTGAGCATTGTTTCAAGATACATGAACAAGCCAAGTAAGATTTATTTTGGATCAGCAAAGAGAATACTTAGATATGCGAAAGGAACCAAGAACTTTGGGCTGAAATATGAAAGTGAGAATGACTGCAAGTTGATTGGATTTTCAGGTAGTGATTGCGCTGGTTCCATAGATGACCGAAAAAGCACATCTAGATATGTTTTCTCTTTGGGAAGTAAAATAATCTCTTGGTCATCAAAGAATCAAAATACTGTAGCACTCTCTTCAGCTGAAGCAGAATACATTTCAGCTACTAGTGCATCTTGTGAAGCGATTTGGCTTAGAAGACTTTTGAAAGACCTTGAATTTTTGCAAGATGGCCCAACTACAATCTACTATAACAATACTTCAGCTATTGCAATGACTAAAAATCTGGTTTTTCATTGAAGAATAAAACACATTAAGCTGAGACACCACTTCATTAGAGAGTCAACTGAGAAGGGAGAGATCGAATTGAAGTTCATCAAGACTGAAGATCAAGTTGCTGATATCTTCACCAAGCCCCTAGCTTCTAAAAAATTTCTGAATTTTAGATGTCAAATGAAAATTACAAATTAAGAGGGGGTGTTGAAAAGTTAGAATGGTAATTCTATAATTTTTCTTTATGTTTTGTCTTTTGTATTAAGTGGGTTGTCTTGCGAGATGGTAGTTGTCTTGGGAGTTGGTAGCTGAAAAGTCTTCAGTGTAAAAGTGAAACTACTTTATATTTCTTATAATCCAAAGCATTTTGGTAAGACAGTTCAAGGAAGCTAAGAACAAGAAAACCCAGAACTCTACGTGAACTTCTTCATCTTCTCTTCTTCTCTCCATTTTCATATTCCTCTTATCTTCTTCAGATTCTTTTGGTTCTTCCTTTAATTTTTCACCACCACACTTCCGTTCCTCTAACAAAATGAGAGGGGTAGCTAAGCCACATGTTTGAGATGAACTGAGTTGACTCATTGAGTTGTGAGAGGGAAAGAAGATTCATTCATTTTCTCCACCTGTAAGAAGGGAAAAGACTAGACATTCCTATCCAAAATAGGTATCGACCTTGGAATTGCATATCGTCCTTTGCATTTGGCTCTCATCCCGAAGAACCACAGTTGTAAGCCATCTTTTGTTTTGTGATAAATCTACTCAAACTATCACCTAAGTTGGCAATGAGATGAAAGATTTCTTCAGTATTCCAGAGGTGGAAGAGAAGCTAGATACTATTAACAAACCTTCCAAAGAGTTTCTATCTCGGGTGGCATTGATAGTTGGCCATCATGTAGATAGGTAAATCTAATTTCTAGAGACAGAGATGGAACCCAATTTGACCAAGAAAGCACCACCTCTTGAGAAGGTGTTAAACCAATTCCTATGTTATCTTCAAAAGGATACACTCTTTCTTTCCAGCATGGGTAAGTCCCTAAGTCTTGTTGGTATTGTCTGTTGTAGTGGCTTTTCTAAGGCAAAAGATTGAATAGCTTGTTCAAAGGCCCTCCAGCTCCAATCTTTAGTCTCTTCTAGGATACAAATGTTGAGGTGTAAAATAGGCCATTCTAGGCCGGCACAACCACCCACTCCAGGTGAAAAATTTGGGGGTTGGCTCAACGGCCCACAACTTAGGCCCACCAAAGCTATTTATTTAAAAAAAATGACGAAAAACTTAAAATTTTAATTTTATATGAATTTTGTGTATAAAATTGCTTATATATGCAATAATTAAACAAATTAGTATAATAAAATTAAAAAAGTATTAATTTTATCAATATATTATATACGTTATATTATTATATAACTATAATACATAAAAATATATATAAATATATAAATATATATATGGGTCGTGCTGGGCCAAGTTCGTGCCGAGCCACGGGCGGCACGACCCGATTTACACCTCTATACAAATGCTTTTGTTTCTTTATGTAAGTTATCAAACACTTACATGAATAAACCTTTACCCATCTACTCCTTGGCAACAAAAACGCCAAATGTTTTTGTTGATTAGATTTTTATGAGATGTGGCTATTGAATTTTAATCTCATTAGAGATTAAATCAAATGGGGTTTGGTTGATTAATTACATGAAAAACACACCTACATAGGTATTTACAAAAATAGTTTTTTTTTTCTTACTAAAACTAGTTTTCAACATATCCCACATTGAAAAATTACTAAACTTGTTTTAAGTTTTTAAATAGGAGCTTATTTACACTCCTTAAAAATATTAGAGGAGAGTATGGACACTTGCTACCATGCAACACGTGCGCACGTGTGTGTGCGGCACAATGAGCTCTTTAGAGGCACATTTTGCTCGTGCACACCCACATGGTTGGCAAAAAAAGGCTTTGACTTTTGGTGCGAGGCTGACTATTGATAGTCATTAACTGTTAACTACCTTTTAACAGTCACAATTTTTGTTCAAAGAGCCTTTTTTGAACCGGCACCTTCCTCTGCTTCATGACTCTTTAGAAATTACTTAAGGAGCATGCATCAAGCAAATTAAAACAAGTTTTTCGAAAATCACTCGTCTCTCTCAATTTGATCTACTACTACCTCATAGAAGGTTTCTTTGGAGACACTTCAACTTTATTGGTTCCAGATTCTCGCCCAAGGCTTTATTGTATCATAGGAATGGATTTGCTTATAACCCATCAACAAATTCAGTAAAATTGAGTGGGGGCAAATAATATTCTAAAGATAATGTCTTTAGACATGCCTTAAAGTTTCTCCTCTAAGTTTCAGTGACCCTAATTCCTAATAATTTTATAACGTTATTTTACAATGGAGGTGGAAGCAAGCATAACTTTGATCAAGATGATGAACCAAGATCTTATTCGACTTGACCAATTCAATGAAGAAAATTTTAGTCAATGGCAAGACAAGATGATATTCTTTTTTACCACACTGAAATTGTATTATCTCCTAGATCTGAATTTACAACCTCTTTCCCTAAACCCACCAAGAAAGATAGTAAAAAGTTAAAGAAGGAAAGAGCAAAACAAGAAGAGGATTCACTTTTGTGTTGAGGACATATATTGAATGCCTTATCAGACCAGATCTACAACTTCTAAAAGGAACTTTCATCTCCAAAAGAAATTTGAAAGGCTTTGAAATTCAAGTACAAGGTGCAAGAAGTAGGTATATACAGATGTCTTATTGTAGAATGACTATAAGTGCACATTGGAGCAAGTTCACAAACTACAAGTGATAGTCAAAAGAATTCAATCTCTTAACACCATTCTTCCTGGATCTTTCCAATTTGGAGTAATAATTGTCAAACTTCCACCCTCTTGGAAGGAATACAGGAAGAATCTTCTATACAAGGTAGAAGGACTTGTCTTAGAGCAAATTTAGTAATACCTTCATCATTTTGAAGAAAAATCTTGGATTAGAGATAGTAGGGATTAGACCATAGCCGGAATGCTGAAATATAAGGCAAACTTTGTGAAAAACCGATCGAAGAAAAGTAGTCTTGTATTACAAGTAAAGATAAAGGATAGGAACTTCAAAAAAAGCAACAAAAAGAAAGGATCCCATTATGTTTGTGGAAAGAAGGGGCACTATGCCCAGGTTTTCCAACATTAGAAAGGTGGAACCAAATCCACAAATATGGTAGAAGACAA